TGCTTAAGGTACTGTTTAAAAATATATATATCTGTGCCTTTGCTAGTTACTAGAAGAAAATCAAAGTGTTACATTCCCCTTATTCGCGGAAGCCTCTCGTAAGACAATGGTGTGCTTGCAATAGCGGGGAACTGAGATGGCCGCAGTGAGTGAGGGCTGCTAAGGCCACAGATAGAACAAGAACTGCCACTACAGCCAGCCCACAGCTGTCCAGGCCTGATTGCCACCTCAGGAGACCCTCCTAACCTGCCAACCTGCCCTTACTAATCAAACCAACCTCTCCTAATGGTCCAGCCAGGGTTTCAACCCTACACAACTGCCATTGGGCTTGACTGTGCCGCTCTTACAGTGGACCCCTCGCTCTGGGTGAGGGCAGCTGTAGCTCTGAAAGAGCACTGGTTTCAAAAGTGCTCCAGGGTATTGGGAGGCCCCGTCTGGTTGAAGATCTTGTATTTCTGAATCGCAGAGATGATCTCAAACCCCAGCCATGCAGCAGTTCTCTTGCGATGGGGTTTAAGGGGCTCTGGTTATCTGGAATCTGCATTTTGAAATCTGCAGCGCCTCCAGATGCAGGATCCTAGATGAACATTGCAAAAGAATTGTATGATGACACCACCCCCCCCGTAAGAAATCCTCTTCTGCCTCTAAGGGTATGCAGCTCACATTTAGAGAGCCTGTTTGGAGGGTGGGTAATGACTCGCTGGTGTCTATGGCTCCTATCTTAAAATATAATTCACACATCTAGGTCTTAGTTTTCATAGGCGCAAACTATTTTATTTCATCACTGGTACTGATCTTAAACAGTTTGCAAACGCAAATTCATGTATGTGCCCTTCTCTGCCTCAGAATAAGGCATCCTCTTCTCAGGGTGTGCTGTTTTCCTGGCGTGGAGTTGGAGAGAGCATAGGATGAAGGCTTTACGGTTTTTGAAAAAGAAATTACTCAAAAAGAGAATCTTCTCTTTGCTCTTGAAATGTATTCTGGGGGAAAAAAAAAAAAAAAACAAAAAACAAAACCAAAACAAAACCCAGCGCTGTGTCCTGAAGCAGAGGGCCACTTCCCTCGTTCTCGTAAGGAGCTCTCACCAGGAGCAGAGGACTCCTGCAGCCTGACCTCCAGCACCCCCACTATATGACACTTCTGGCACAACTCTGTCTTTTCCCTCTTTCCAAATGTGCGGGTGTTTCTCTGTGGCTGTGTTACGTAGGATTTCTCTTAGGGGCGTTATGGGTTGCATATGTGGCAGTCAAACACAGATTTAAGTTTTCCCTTAATTATTGCATGTTTGTCACTGGCGTCAAAAGTTTGCTTGCGGGTTTTGAGTGTGCCTCAGCAAAGAGCAGGAGGGCTCTTTAAGCCTTAAGAGTTTTTGAATGTTACTTGACCTGTCTCTGTGCTGCTGAGACCACTTTGATAATAAATGGATCAATACCTTGCTGTTTGTGTAGAGGTGTCTTAAGTGCCATTGTCGTCTGCTTGCAGCTCTGACAAAGCAATTATTACTGTAGGAGTGGTGGGTTTTACATGTGCTGAGCATTAGCCGCTGTCAGGTCACCCTGGCTTTTAAGGAAAGCAGCAAATGTCACTTAATACAGTGGCACTGACTCGGTCCTCTCCAGTTAAGGGACTGTTAATAATTCCATTATCAAGCTGCTACTTTCTGGGACATCCGGCGCTTCCTACACAAATGGTGGCTTAACTTTGTGTAAGAGTATATAACCAGTGACACCTGCTACCATAGCCAGTGTTCCCTCTTATCTTCTCTGCATTGGTTAAGCCCACGGCATGCCCGTTACAGGCCCAGCATTGTCATTTTTAGTGATTGACACTAGTAAAAATGAGAATCGGTAACAAAGTAAAATCAAGGCTGTAGAGAAAATGGGATTCTAGCATCTCAGTGAGTTCATCTCTTCTTTCATCGCCTCCTGTCCCCTTCCTCCCCCACAGTACAATCCTTGTTTATGTTTCCACCTTGCCTGTTGATTCCGTAAAATCTTCCCCTGCCTCCCTCTTAAACTGAGAAGGGCAACGGGTCTCACAGCCGTGTCAGTGCTCGCTGAGGGAGGCACTAGCTGCTCGGGGGGCAGCACAAGGCTGGAGACAGCAGTGTGAGGAAGGTGGCCACAGCAAGTCCCTGCCAGCCTAATGACCTGAGTGTCCCGTCACCACCTCGTACCCAGCTGGCTCATGCTTGCTTTGCAGCCCCACCAGGGGTTTCTAGGGAAGAAAAAAAATGGCTTTTTACTACCTTCTCCAGCGATACAAGAGGAGAAGGAAAGCTCTGCTTTGTTAAGGAGCACGGCCTCACTAGTGGTAGAAGGCCACTGGGTGGGGTATTCTCAGCAGTCCTCAAGGGCTTTTGAATAACATTGATTTTAGAGCAGCCCCTGGACTGCTCTAGCTTTCACTGAGGCCTCCGTGACTAGCGGGGTTCACAAGAGAGGAAAAACAGTGGCATACCACATCTTTTTATACCCACTCCTCTCCTTTCCCCATCAAGCTCGATCCAGCCAAGATGTTGGACTGGGGGTACATACCGTGGTGGCCCTTCTGATCTTTATAATTGCCCGTGGCAGGTAATTAACAACACAAGGGCACTGGTAATGAGAGGAACAAGCAAATGTTGAAATTGCAGCCGGTTTATTCTGCTGCAAGATGTTAATTAAAAAAAAAAGTCTGGTGCTTTGCGTCGGCCCTACCCTTAGGAAAAAAGCGCTGTGTTCCTACAAGTGTCACACTCCCACTTACCCCGCGACAGCAGATGAAGTTTGAATTGCTTTGGCTATCAGCTTCTTGCAATGTGAACTCCTTGTAATGAAACCACCAGCACTATTTGCTCACAGATCTACCTGTAGCTCACAGCGCTACCCCAAACGCAGGCAACCTGTTCAAGCTGTTTGGATATCTTCTAAGCGAAACGCTTTGTTTGCATTGCAGGTGTGCCGATGTTATCCGTACAACCCAAAGGGAAGCAGAAGGGCTGTGCCGGCTGCAACCGCAAGATCAAGGACCGGTACCTGCTGAAGGCTCTGGATAAGTATTGGCATGAAGACTGTCTAAAGTGTGCCTGCTGCGACTGTCGTCTTGGAGAGGTTGGATCAACTCTTTACACAAAAGCAAATCTCATTCTTTGCCGCAGAGATTACCTGAGGTAAATAGAGGAACGTATTGTGGGCTCTTCCCAAAGCCTCTCAGCGTGCTGCCAGCTGTTTCTTTTTCTGAACCTCTCCTATGAAAACGCGCACTTGTGCATGGTCAGCCCTGCCCAGAAGAGGGTGGAGTTTCTTCGTCTGTCTAAGCACGGCTTTTTATTTGCCCTTAACATATTTTGTAGTAAGGGAGGTGGAATCCTATTTTTTGGTGAAGGTAGAAGGAGGAGGGCATGATTTAACCATTTATTATTAGGAACCAATGAGAACAAATAGTACTTGCTGAGAAAATTAGGAAAAGATTGTTAATTTTTCTTGCTTATCTTTGGTGTTATACTCCTGCATATTGACTCAGACCTGACCAAACCTTTACCTTTTCTTTTTTTCAGTGATAGCTTTTAGACATTTTCTAGTGTTTATATCGAGTAGGGTTCCTCCCAAGGGGCTCTTGTCTCTTCCCTAAGTAAACAGAGCAAAACACTCCAAAATTACAGATCAACTTCAAAAAAATTTTTCTTCATGAGGAAGTCTGCAGAGACCATCACTGAGTTCTGAGTTAGAACTACCCTGTCAGTGTGTGTCTGCAATATATAACAACACATGGGATTTTTTGCCCGGTGTGTATGGGGGTTTTGTACAGAATACTTTATATAAAAAGAAATTAATTTTAATAAGACAGCAGGCCTAATGCAAACATTCTTATTAGGGTCACACGCAAAACACTCTGAGTTTTGCATTGTTTTTCCTTTGGAAGAATGCACTTGATCTCCAGCTAATGTGTGTGTTTTCTTTTTTATTTTTCCTAAAGCACTGATAGCAGTTCCTATGCAATCTCAACCAGCAAACACATCCGAAGCAAAACAGAAGCAACACGCTGTTTTAAGATAGGGAGGTAAAATGCCATCTAACCTTGTGGTGTCCACAGACTGCCTAGATTAGTCTCAATGATCCGATGCTTCGTGTGTTTCAATGTAAAACACATTTCTGAAAATCTTTAGTAAATATTTTCTTAGTAAACTTGAAAAAACAAGTGTCTCCTTCTAAAGATGAGAGATTGAGCACTGAGCCAAATAGAAGAAATAAGTCTAGGAGCTACCACATGGAGCTGCCACCTTGCCTTTCAGCCAGGCAGCGTACAAGAGCATCCTGCCCATATGAGGGGTTTTGCTCCTGTTTGAGCTGAAACTCTCCAGGGCACACATGAAGTGTCTCAGCTGAAATTACGCCATGCAGGCAGCAGTCACAGGTCCACACCAGGTTAATCGGGATGCGTCCCCAAAACGTAAGTGAGAAGGAGCTTGAGTAAGGGTAGAACACATCTGAAGGCGAAAAGACAGGATAAGCAGCCTTTGGAAAGGTGGAAAGAGCTAACTATCTTCACTATCATGAAATAATTTTTGTACCTTGCTTAAGTTGGAGTATTTACTAATGCCACACTTGCTTGGGAAGTATCCTTAACCCTGTCTGTGCTAAGCTGAAAAAAATGAGCTCCAGACGGTTCTTTAACACACAGTTTTCTAACCCCAAATTAGCATTTTGGTTCTTCACTGACCCTCCTTCAGTTCAGTTATACTCTTTCTGTGTTGTGGACATAATTGTGATGTGTCAATGAAGAATATAACGGCTCTTGATCTTCCCTTGTTGAGGATTGCATAATTGCTTTTCATCAGAGTATCACAAATGGGTCATGCTAGGTACTAATCACAAGGACCCCCAAAACCTCTTGGGAGAGCTTCTTCCCGGAGTAATCTTTCTTCCAGAAAACAAAGGCTGCATTCGTTTCTGGAGTGTTTCTTTATACTTTACTTTGTTTATACTTCATCTTTATCTTGTTTGCACCCATCTTGCCAAGTCATCCGGGTTTCTCCATCAGTCATCCTCCTCTTCATTATTTATCACTTCTCTAGACTTTGTCATTTGTGCACTTGATAAACAGTGTTGTGTTTGGTTCGCTGTTTTTTATTAATCTGACCCGAAAGATAGATATTCAATGTTCTTCTACGTGTTACAGAACCCTACTCGAAATAGGCAGCTGGGTGGTGATTCCCATTTACATTTGCTTTTTGAGACCTATGAGCTACCTCATGTTTTGTCCATTTAATGAGCACCGTATTGATTTTGGTTTGTTCTAGTTTCATAACAAAAATAATGCGCAGCATCAAATCAGACATGTTAAAGTGCTGAAGGAGAGCAGTATTGACGCTGTTAAACTTAGAAGAACCTTTTTATCACTGCAGTTGTAGAGCATTTCTTTCTTTTCTTGGTTTACCCTGAGAAAGCTGCTTTGAGGTGGAAAAGCTTAATCCGTGATCTTCTCACTGGCCCCCAGATGGCACAACTTTCTGGGACATGCCACAAGCCTGTGTGAGAGATGGGAAAGAAGCCAGGAGTTGCAGACCCCGGCAAAGAGTCCACGTCCCATCTTTGAGACGACGGGGCAATTCGTGACTTGAAACATGGAAGGCAATAGTTGGGGCTAGTGTTTGACCATGTCCCTGCAGCTTCTGGCACAGCAGCAGTTAAGCATGGTCTCTGAACCAAACTTGTTCTGTGCCTGAAAGGGGTCTTGTAGCCCCTCTGCCTCGATTTGTTGGGTTAGAATAATCCCCGGCCCACCAAGGGGGGAGTCTGTTGCTCTTTGTGCAGCGTGGTTAAATTGTGAAAGGAGGGCTTATGTGCCCTTAACTTTAAACATTTTTCCCCTATCTGAATTTACTCTGTTACAGCAACTTTGACTACTAGAAATATTTCTTACTTGTTTTTTGTTGGCAAGAGCAATATATTTGTCGTATCCCAGGAAATTTGACCAAGGCTCGGGTAGGGAGGAATAACATTAATTCTGTAACACAGCTGTTAATCTGTGTTCAGCTGTTTAGCCAGCTTTACAGCTATGATGTTTTGTGTTCTCGCTGGTAAGTAAATTTAGATTTATACTATTATTTGGGGGTACTGCCGAACTCCTGGGTTCTGTTCTCCTGATGCTAAGAAACCCTTTCAGGGTCCTAGTATAGGAATAAGGGCATTGCTATGGAGCCCCGTATTTTATGGAAGTATAAAGCTATTATTTTTACTTTAAAACATCTTCTGTTACCTTCTACACATAATATTTCTTTCTCTCTCAATTTTAGCTATTAGTTCTATTAATAGAAGGAACTAAAGTTGCCATCACCATCTTCTCTACTGTCTGTTCCCTCCTGGTAATTTGAATTTTTCTTCTTGGAGAATTACCCATTCCCATCATTATATAATTCCTTCACTCCAATAGTTTTAGAGCCTCTATCCACATCTTTCTTTTTTTTTTTTTCCTCATTAAACAACTCACGGTATTTGTTCTACTAGTCAAATTTTAGCAGAATTCATTCCTAAAAAGAAGTTTTCATACTTCATACTGTAGTTGCACCATAAAGGGAGTATTTTATCTGGAGGACAACCAGAGGAATTTATTGTTCGCCACTTCCTCTATATGCCTTTGAATAAGAACAGGGTGAATATTGCACTGATATTTAGTAGGTCATCCATCATGAAAAATTAAAAGCTAGACTGATTCTGCACCCATAAATATAAATATATGCATCTTTTCTATCTGAAGTTCACAAGGAATATTGCTGTGTAATGACCAGGAGAAAAAAAATTGGTGTTTCATAATCTCTTTATAGACCAGTGTTTCTTTGAATTTGCCCGAGAGCTGATTGTCTCCTTTAGGAATATGTGCTTCATGACCTGGTGCGACATGCTTTCCCACCCCGCACTGGGCTCCTGCTTGCCTCGTTGCTGCGGAGGCAGCAGTCTATAGGTGCTTGCCTATAGACACAAAGGGCTCCTGGAGTATTTTGGGCTGCTTAGAAATTCAGCTGAAGTGATGGTTAATTTGCAGGTCTGGGACCATGTTTGTGCCACCCCTCCTGCAGGCAGGTGTCGGGGACAAGGATGAACTTCTGGACTTCTGTAATCGTTGTGGGGCAGAGCTCTGGGACAAGAGCGTGCCTGGCTCCCACCCCATGGCGCCAGCGTTCCTTTGGAGCCACCTTTGTCCGAGGTGTGGGCTGCTGGCCACGTACGCTGGTCCTCTGTGGGTTTTTAGAAGAAATCGTTCAAATGGATTTCAGGAGCCGCTAGCAGACCATAGCCTGATCATTTGTTTCAAAAGATAAACTGTCGTCATTGCTTGTGAAGGAACATTTGTTAACCTTCACATTTCATAAAACACTTTCTTGCTCATTTTTTAATCATGAAAGATGAAATTGGATCTCGAGTTGTTATCCTTGCGGTATCACCTCAGTCTCCAGCTGTGTCTAGATGTATCTTTCGATACATTTCATCTGAGCAAATAGATTTACCATTTGTTTCATAATCACAGTTCCAGCATTCCTACCTCTAATTACTTTTGATAAGCAAACGCTATTGAAGAAACTGCTTCTGGGACAGAGAAGCTTAGTGTGCAGCTCGGATGGCTCCTCGCAGCTCCCACACAGCAATGTGTGTTTGTTCCTCGGCGTAATTAAACATTCACCAAGCTCCGGTTCACAGGGACGGTTTGGGTGTTGCATCAGGATTTCCCGGGAGGAACTGACAACTTAAATTTCAGTGTGAAGTGCTGATGAAGAACGTGATTTTTCTTTTTTACTCGGCATGGTGCCCTCACACAAGCAAAGGCGAGTCAGGCTCGCTTTGACAGGAGCAGAACAGTCGCTTCTGCATGTTTGATATGCTGGTGTCGGGAAAGTTTTTCATCGTTTAAACTGATTAGGAATTAATTAGACTCCAAAGAAAACTCAAAACCTGCATTAAAAAATGATGTAGAATCAGTAAGAGAATCAGCTTTCCAGGAAGCTCTGATACTGTTCTCAGTGGATTTCATGGAAATTCTTTTCATCCGGCTTCCCATGTGTTTCGATCGGTGCCGCAAACCCAGCACAGCATCGGGGCCGCAACCTGAGTGTGGCATTGGTGCCCCTGGCAGGTGGAGCAGCCCCGTACACCCCGTCTCAGGGATGGAGGTGTC